GTGTCAGTCAATGGGACTTGTGCTCCTAAATCACTGATGTGCTTTAACCCCCCCTCTGCCCTCACACATGCACATATAAGCTTTGAGTACATTACAGCTACACCATTTGCTCAGACATGTCACTTTGTTCTCTAAAGTGACACAGGAACTAAAAAAACCCACCAGATGTTCTACACACATTTGCAAATGGAACCGATTCGCCCAGTCCCACATTCAGGGGCAGCACTTGTGTTGGTTCATGTTCTAGCATATGGAAAGGACCCCTCACCACACCTCAGGATGCAACTTCCCGCTCCCATAATCTTCACACCTCTTTTGAATAGATCAGACTTCTTCTTGTTCATCATCTCAGAGAGCTCTGTTGTCATTCATGAACATTACAAACCCAGGCCAAATGATCATCCAATATTTGCAGCACCACAGGAAGAACCACGGAAATGGAGGGTATGATAATTTTTGAGGCCAGTCTGTTGTGGGACAGAGCAAAAACAATTCAAGATTGTTGGGGATATTCAAGAAGCAGCTACCTATTTGTCCTCTATTTCCAAGGGTGCAATGTCACTGAACAGTGGTACTATTTTCCAAAAGCAGTGATTTTAGTTGATCTCTCACTCCTCAGGGCAATAAAGGCACAGGTGCTGCTGGTGCCCCAAACCTGTCCTAGACCCATATGCCACTAGCCTGTTAACTTAATGGTGCCTGCTAAAGCATCATGGAGTGGCATGGGAAAGTGTCCTACTGTGGAGGATGAAATGAGGCAGCCTACCCCAGAAGTCTTCATGAGAGGGTTACAGAGTGCCACCATGGAATTTTCATTAAGCGCTCTCACAAGGAAACATCCTGTGGACATAAACAAGCAGCTCTGCATGCCCAACTCCCAACCCTACAGAGGGATAAAATACTAGTATCTCTACCTCATTTGTTGTACCACTACCTCCTCTCAGAGATGCAAACCAGTGAAACAGTCGATAACTGACTCCAGCTAACTTGAGGTCAGGCAAGGCCTCTTTATATTTAAACATTGTAAAGAAAAAGCATGCACATGTACCTGAGGTTCCTTTCCCTTCATTGGGCTCTTCTGCACTTGGCTGATGGGACTGGCTAGACAGGTGGAATCTCAAGAAGCTCTTGGCTCATGGAATAGCTGGATGTCCCCTCTGCCATGTCCTTCCTCTTCCCCTTTGCTGTTCACAGCAGGGTTCTGTGTCTCAGGCTCCTCAAATATATCTGAAGTGTTCTGCCAAGTGTGGCATGCAGCTCATTGTAAAAGTGGTAGGCCAATGGCTTAGCACCAAATTGATTGTTGGCCTTGTGGTATGTCTGTAGCACTTCCTTTCCTTTCCCTCAGCATTGCTGCTGGTCCCTATCATATCCCTTTGCCTGCAATCCCTGTGCAATATTTTCCTAGATGCCTGTATGTCTATGACTTGTCCAAGGCTGTGTCTGCACAGCCTCTTCTTCACACAGACCCAGGAGAGTCAATATCTCCTGGCTACTCAAGAAAGGAGAGTATCTAGTACATGGAGCTGTCATGGTTGGTAGGGCAGTTGCTCACAACAAATGAGAGATGTGCCCATCAAAGTGAACAATAAGGAAAAGGCATTTCAAAACTTAAGAAGGATTTAAAAGGGGGTGGTAGCTACTCGTTGCCAGGACTACAGGATAATGGAGCTCACTACTATGATCAGAGCAGTAATTACTGGGTATTGTGGGACAGCTATGGCAGACTTAAGGATGACATAGGTGAGTCTCCAAAATAATCTCCAGGGAGACTTAAGCTCTCATGGAAATAAAAGTTTAATTCCTGTACTTTACAGCTATTATGAATGCAATTAAAAAGGGCACCTTAAGACAAAGTTTCCATCCCTCTAAGGTGCTTTGCTACCAAGAGACCCAAGAGCACCTGGAAGAGGAACGGAAGGTCTCACAGAAGAACCAAGTGCTGGTGCTTAACTCTGTGCAACAGAATGGAACAAAAGAAGCTTTTAGTCCTAGAGATGAGGAACTTCTCTACCCTCTGATGGCATTTTGGGTTAGCAAAGACCTGATACACACAGACCTGGAAAGAGTTTATGAAGATACAGCTACACTGAAATAAAAGACCTGTGGCACAGCTGTGGCTGGACTTGGTCAGATGACCCAGGTTCACAGGGCTTGGGCTGTCATGCTAAAAGCTGCTTATTAATATCATCTGGCTTATGCTAAGACAATTTATCATGTTCTTTCCTCCAAGATAAATTGATCAGGAGGATGGAAGTTACGACTTACACCCAAGAATACAGCAAGAAGGCTTTCTGAAGCCTCTTGGGAGCACGGTTCCCAGTGGCCATCTGGTTGTTACTCCTCACAGCGACAAGACTCTGATGGAGGGAACTGAAAAAGTAAGGCTATTTACTGTCTAGGCGGCGGAAAAGATTACTTTAAGAGGCACAGATCTGCCTTAGCCTGCTAGATGTCCATTGGCCTGACGAGCAGAAGAGAAGATGACCAAGAAAAGGCCAGAATGGACAAGTTGTGTGGACACTGAAGCACAGCAAGTGAAAACATCCCCTTCCCCCTCAATTCTAATCAATAGCAGCATGTCCCAAAGTGCTATGCTGTAACTCCTCCATTGGACACTGCAGGTGTGCACTGAAAGGTCTCAAGGTTTGAACTCCGAACCTTTTAATTTACAGCCACACTATCCACACGTGGGATTTACAGCACAGAACTTTGGTGTAACTACTATTCACACCTGCTTAGAGCTTGCTTACTCTACAGGTTATGTCGGTCAGGGGTGTGAATAAGCCACCTGCCCGAGCAATGTAATTTATATTGAACTAAGTGTCAGTGTGCACAGTCCTATGTTGCTGGGAAAGTTTGTCCTGCCAACATCGCTACCGCCACTTGCAAAGGTGGTTTTATTATGGCAAAGGGAGAGCGCTCTCCCACCTGCATAGACAGTCTTCCCAAAGTGCACTTCATTAACATGAAACTTTCAATGAGTCTCCAGAATAAACTCCAGAGAGACTTAAAAAACTGAACTCTCGTGGAAGTAAAACTAAGTTTAGTTCCTAACCTTTGCAGCTACCATGAATGCAATTAAAAAGGCACCTTAAGACAAAGTAGTTTCCATCCCTCTGAGGTGTTTTGCTTCCAAAAGAGACTAGCCCTGAGCCTGAACTGTCAGGCAGCACAGACATGCCCTTCCTCTTCCTTCTGGGTTGCTGAGGCCATAAGCAAGTGTCATTGCTATGAAGAGATCTTTCACCTCCAAGAAAAGAGCAGATAGGAGAGGGGTACCCTAATGGGGATCAGAAAAAACACTTCAGCTGATTGTTGCATCCTGCCTGTGAAATTTGAAGAGGAGATACCCTACTGGTCTGTGCTGAGAGAACCAGATCACCAAGTCAGTTCAGTCACTGGCAACAAGGCGATAGGCATAAAAAACCTCCAACTGAGCATCTGATCAGCCCTACCACAGCAGCAGGGATCAGAGCAACCCGAGAGCCAGCTCTCTCCACTTTCACCTGCTTGCCTATTTACAGTGCAGAACAGACATCATGTAAAGATTCCAGTCGAGTCACAGCTGAAGTCTTAACTACATAGATTCAGCCCAGGGCTTCTTGCAACACATCATTCAAAGGATAAGAGCTTATTTTCAGAGTGATTTACAGTAGGGATGTTAGCCTGTAGTCAATTACATGATTAGCCAATAAGCCTGGGCTTCTCGGTTAATCATGACGACTATACACGAACAGAGGTGGGAGCAAGCGCCTTTGGGGCTTTTAAGATGGCTCCCCACATGTGCCAGTTCCCACAGAGATGTCTTCCCCCCTCCCCCCGCCCACAGAGGCAGCAGCGTAGGAGGACCAGGTGGAAGCCACCTCACTCCATGCTGCTGCCTCTGATCGAGGCAACAGTGTGGGAGGGAAGGAAGGCGGGAGCCGATACACAGAGAGCCAGCTTTTAAGCCAGCTCTCCATGCATTACGGCTTCTTGGAGCTGCCTGCCCCCACTTCCTGCTTCTGTGGGAGGCAGCAAGGGGGAGAGTGGCAGCTGGCTCCACAGACAGCCAGCTCCCCACATGTATCAGCTCCTGCCAAGCTCTCTGCCTCCTCCCAGCTGCTGCTTCCTCCTACAGAGGAAGCAGCGTGGGGAGGCAGCAGGCAGGAGCTGGCACATGCAAGAAGCCAGTTTTTAACCTGGATCTCCATGCATGCCAGTTTCTGTAGAGCTGCCTGCCCTGTCCCCGCCCCCAAGCACTGGCTCCTCCCTGCCTCCCCCAACCCCATGTTTAAATGTGCAACTGCTAACATTTTCAGTGTTTACACAAATAAGCTATAGTTAGCATCCCTAATTTACAGTCCAGACAGACAGGAACACACTTAACATGGCTCCTTTTTTCAGCAAGTTCTTTTCTAGTATCTTTGGAGATTTGTTTTTGCCAATGACCACAGACCAACCCCAAAGACAACTTCAGCCAAACTAACAGTAGTGCCCTCCTTCCCTCCTCTCCTGTTTAGCCTTGCTAATAAGTTGAAGAAAATCTCATCAGAATTTAGGAACAAAAATAACAGCAATCAGATAACTGCTCAGAATTTTAATCTGACTCATATGCAGCAGCCTCGGTATCAGAGCAGTGACCACATTTTATCTTCTGTTTTGCTCTAAATGATTGATTAATTATAATTAATCCATTGAGTTTATCAAATAAGTTTAATTCTGTGCCAATCATTTTATTCATTAGCATCTCTACACAGATTTTGCTGAGAATATGTATAAGGTCCCTCTGTTCACAATTTTTAAAAACAGAACTCAAGAGGGAAAGATAAAAACACAGTATATTAATGAAGGAGTAACTCAAACCAGTCACCCTGTTGAAGTCTGAAGCATGCACTCAGGAAAGTATGAGGCTCTGGTACCTCGGTAATGAATTCAGACTGGTTCATGCAGCCATGCATGGGCAGACACTAGATTAATGTCTTGCTGCCAAGGCCCATATCTATTCATACTAAGCTTTAATAGCTTGGCGAACAAGGGGGAAATAAGCATGATTCCTGCAGCTGAACTGCAGGGTGAAGTATACAAGAGATGTCAGACACCATGGCGACAAAACACACAAACCTAAACTGACAGCCAGCCAGAGGGTGATCGTGACAAGTGAAGGTGGTGTGAACTGAAGATGAAACACTGAAGAAGACATAAGCGCTGCAGGACAGGTCAGGAATAAGCTGAGAAGTATAACAAAGGTGGTTATTCAGTGCTTTCAGTTGGCACCATGTGTCTTTTTCCCAATACACCCCCACACTGCGGGAACAAAGCCCAGCTGCCAGACCCTATGCACTCAGGCTCTGTTCACATTTTAAAACTCACTATGTACTCATGAAATCTCAATTCCAGACACCCTTTCTAACAGCACAATGGCTGTGCTTGAAATTAACAAGCAGTAGAAAAGTATCTTGCTGTTTTCAAAAGCCAAAGGTGTAAGAGTACTCCATCTAGGTGCGGGTTAAAACAGGAGCATCAAAGATTAATTCCGCAGTATCCTTTTACAGAAGTAGTTATGGGAGTTCATAAATGAGAGGATGAAGGAAAAGCTCTTGCATGAGGAGTGTGTGAAAAGATGGACTACCTAGCTTAGAAAGGAAATGAATAAGAGGGGATATGATGAAAGTCTAAAAAAAGATGGTCTAGAGAAGGCAGATTGGGAGCTTCTGTTATCCCTATTTCAACATGTTCAATTAAATTAAATGGCAGCAAATTTGGGACCAGACATTTATATGACAGGCTCGACAAATCTGCTTAGCTACTCGCCCATGGAGAGTAGATTTCAGCGGGTCACCCCATTCACCAGCGGTTCGCACATGCGCAGCTAGCAAGTGGTTTTCACCACAGTTTGGTGAAACTGTTTATATGGATAACAAGATTTCCAAATGGCTTGGTAGCACTTTATAGACTAACAAAACATGTAGATGGTATCATGAGCTTTCGTGGGCACAGCCCACTTCAGATGACAGGAGTTTTGAGTTTAGGATGTAGAGACCCAAATAAATAGGGGAGAAGGGGGAAGGGGAAAAAAAGGAAGGGGGCAGGAAACAAGGAGCAGAGGGTCTGAAAATATCAAAGGGAAAAACAAGTAGGCAGAAATGGTAATCTATAAGCACTTGAAAATTCGATAGTTAAAAAGAAGCAGATAAGGCTCAAAGGATAGCAATTAAATAGGAAGGGTACTAATGCAAGAAATCTACACAAAGAACTGTAGGCACCTTCACTGAATGTGAGGTTGATAATGTCCCAGCTATCCCTTCTCAACTGAGAAGGTGATCAGTGAAGGAATTGAATTTGTGGATGAATTGTAATTCCAACACCTCTCTGTGTATTTGGCTTGTAGAATTGGTTTGTGACAAAACAGCCACCTGGATAGTAGAAGATGAAATCTAGACAATTTTCAGCACAGGCTGACCAGCAGTATCAAAGTTTGTACCAAAGAAGGGGAAAGACTGGTATCTAAAGCTTAGCCATTTACAGCAAGAAGTCAGTTAGTGTTTAAATTACTCATCAGCATGACAGGCCCCAAAATGCAAGTTGCTTCTTCTGGTCCCCAACTCCAGATTTTCTCAAGGTATATGGTTTTTATTTTTTGATGCTTTTTTTTAAATTGAGCATTAGAAGTTATGACTTTTTAAGGGGGCGTTGTTTTTATTTAAAAACAACATCATTTTCTGAAGGTCAGTTCTAAGATGAACAGCATGCAGACAATAGGGATACAACAAGCCACTGACTTTGTTCAAATATTAAGGCCCTAGCAGGCTAACAGTATTCCTTCTAGCAAAGAGAATTCTCTGCTCTGGCTTACACGCCTACCCTATGAGGCAATTCTTTACTCGTAAAATACAACCTGTTTGTAAAATCATTTTCACACTTTAATAAAGTCTCTAAAATTCTGCCATCATATTAGGCTCACACAGCAGGGCCTGAAGTGTTGACCATACACGAAGTTTGTCATTAAATACAAGTAAAGTAACATCCTATTTCTTCTCTTATACACAGCTCTGCAGGAACACTTCCTGAGTGACTCATTTTTTATTTTATTAAAAAGGTCCATGTAATTTCAGATGCAGTAAAGTCATTATGTTTGGGTTTTTAAATCTATATCCTCAATTTACATATTTTAACAGGAATTCATTTAAATATTAGCATTTAGAAATTAATAATTTTACACCTCTGTAAACACTCCTTGATGTGCTATCTGACCTCATTGCCTTGAGGAATTCATACAAGTCTTCCAAAACATTTCAGAAGCCAGTCTGTAATATGCTTATTAAAAAGAAAAGGCACCAGTTAGCTCCCAACTTGCTGGATTTATCAGTAAGTATGCAGCTAATAATGTCTCCACCTGTGAGTAAGTTGGCACCTGCTCTGTAGAGTCTATGGAGCATGAAGTTTCGCCACCGTGAGAGGGTCTTGTTTCATGCTCACAACTCCAGCTCCTGCAGGTCTCCCCAGCTAGGTCCAATTTTCACTTTAACATTCAACTTCACCAAGAGTTTTATGGCATTTTCCATCTCGTGTTTGACAATCTGAGCTACCTGCAGGGAAACAAACAAGGTTAGATGTTTCAAGGAACTGTTGAGAGACCTAGAGCCACACACTTCAGATGCTCCATTTCATCGTCATCAGTTTGGCAGGTCAGGGGCTTGGAGCCCTCCACTGTGTATGTTTGGCTAGGTTCTCCATCGACAGGAACCTGACAAAATGTTTCAAGATTGATTACGATATATAAAAGGAGAGGGTTAGGGAAATATTAATATATTTTCTTACAGATCTGCATACACTGGAGACCTATCTTCCTGCTTCAGCCAGAAACAAATTCCACCAGCACTCTTCCCAAAGCATGCAAAGGAGAGAGGTGAAAGCAAACCATTTGAGTTACATTACAGGGGAGATAAAAAGCAAGGGAACCCAGGAATAAAGACCTCATTTTGTCAGTACAAGAGGCACGCTATAGAAGACACAAGAACTCAGAAAATAATCATTTTACCAAAATCATCCCATTGGATCCTCCTAATACACATTATCACACTAAACATATAGCTGCACAGTTACAGAACATACTGAAAGAGATATTACAACACATACTATATTATACCCAATGTACAACTGTCTACTTTTTGTTCTAAAAATCTACAAGCAGCACAGTTTTTCCCAAGATAACCCTGAACTTCAGTATTATCTTCAGGCCTGGCCAAAGGGTTTGCAGGGCCCAAGGCAAGAAGCTGGGAACAGGGCCCCGGGCCCAGCTGGTGGATGGTGAATACTTAGTAGCCCCGAAAGCACGGAGCCCAAAGCATTTGCCTTGCTTTCCTTGTCCTAGGGCCAGGCCTGATTATCTTCCCACTTGCCTGACTGAACTCCCCAATGCAAGTCTTTAAAATTTTCAGGTTCAAATGGAGCTATAGGCCACAAAAATTTCTATTCTCTATTTAGTGTATGCTACTGATATCAGAAATGTGGAATCATGACACTGAGGGTACAGAAAATACACACAGTGAAGAAACAAACCTCATGATACAAGCAGCTGCTTTAAAAGATCTAGTTTGACAAAGTATGCTGAATATAAAAGTCTGCACCATAGATGTCTGAAGATCTGATTGAAGGTAATCTTAGTGAATGAAAGGAATTGTTTAGTGTGATACATAGGGATGTAACTAGGAGCACTAGCGTGAATTTAAGAACTAGAATAAGAAAAAGTATCAGAGAAAGTGTCAGGAGAGACATACTGGGCTCTCCAGGGAAGTGATGCAAACTGTATCCCATGGAATTTTTAAAAGGTTGAAAGAAACAGAAAATTGTCCTGTGAGAAGCAATCCTGCATTGACTCCATAAAGAACCACGAGATTGGGCCTGACAAATTCTGTGATTCTAAAAACACTGATAATTCCTAGTGCATCTGGGGGAGTGAAGCACAGGCTAGCCCTGCTTACACACTAACACTGACTAACATGCCTTACAAGTAAGGAATTTGCTTCAGTTTAGGCTTGAGTGTGATGACAGATTCTCATCCTTGGAGAGCCAAACCTGCCAAGGACATGTGTTTAGCCCAACAAATCATCTCATGGACACTTCCGTTCCCATTCATCATCATGAAAGGGAAGGTTACTCACCTTGTGTAGTAACTGGAGTTCTTTGAGATGGTTGTCCCCAAAGGTGCTCCAACTTAGGTGACTACAAAGCAGTGTCCATATTTGGTGGTGGGTGCTTCGGTTGTGCTAATTCAGTAGCTGCGAGAACAGTTCGCCCAAAGCGCATGTCTGTATCGGCAAACACCTGAATTGCGTAATGTTGCGTGAATGTAAATACTGAGGCCCAGGTTATGGCCTTGCATATGTCCTCAGTTGGTATCCCCTTAAGGAAGGCAGTTGTAGCTGCCATTGTTTTCATAGAGTGAGCCCTTATATGCCACAAGGAACTGCCTGCCGACATATCGTAAGCACCCTGATGCCCATTTTGATAGTATTTGCTTGGATATGGGTAACCATCTTGATCTTTCCATAGATGACACAAAGAGTTGTATTGTAGATAAAAGCCTATTGCCCTGCAGACATCTAATGCGTGTAGTGCCCTTTCTCTGTCGTCTTCATGTGGTTTGGGGAAGAAGACAGGTAAGTGTATCGGTTTGTTGCATCGAAACAAAGAAAGTACTTCAGTTAGGAATTTAGGGTGTGTACGTAGTACCACCTTGTCTTTCTGGAAGACCAAGCAGAGTGGTTGTGTCATGAGTGCACTTATCTCCCCCACCCTTCTTGCAGTAATTGCCACCAGAAACACCACCTTCACGGATAAATGTAGAAGGGAGCAAGTGGCCATTGGCTCAAAGGGTTTTCCCATAAGAGCCCTTAGGACCAAATTATGGTCCCATGCGGGGATCGGGTCCTGTCTTGGTGGAAACACATTCTGCAGGCCTTGAAGGAATCTTTTGGTAGATGGGTGAGTGAAGGCCAAGTATCTTTGTATCGGCAGGTGAATGCCACTATGGCGGCGAGAAGTACTCTGAGTGAGCTCAATGATAATTCCATCTTGTGCAGGTGTAGTAGGTAGGCCAGAACGTCTGAAATTGTGTTTTAAGCACCACAGTGTAAAGCGATGCCATTTCTGCCGGAATCTCTTTCTGGTTACAAGCCTGCAGTAGTTGATGAGGATTTGTTGCACCTCCTCTGGGTAGTTAGCCTCCTCCTGCATCAGTCAATCGCCAACCATGCATGAAGGTGAAGTGTGATCACTTCTGGGTAGTGTCTCTGTCCATCCTGTTGCATCAACAGGGATTGGAGTAGTGAAAGAGGTTAGAGCAGCCGAGCGCTCATCTGCAGTAGGTAGGGGTGCCCAGCCTGTCTGGGCAACTTTGGGGGTATCAATATGACCTTCGCTTTGTCCTGTCTGATTTTGAGAATTGTGCGTTGAAGCATTGGGAAACTGTAGAAAAACATGCAGTAGCGGTGTGTCCCATCTTATGCTGAATGTGTCTCCCAATGGCCCTGGGTCTATGCCGGCATGTGAGTAATAATATGGGCACCTCTTGTTTCTGTGGGTGGCAAATAGATCTATCATAGGAGCTCCCCATTTCTGAAAAACATAGCGGAGAATTGTGGGTTGGTCTCCCACTCATGTTTGTGAGAGCATCTTCCAGGACATTGCCCTTGCCTGGGAGGTTGGTGACTATCAGTGTTATTTTTCTCGGTATGCACTGCTCCCAGAGCTTCATTGCTTCCAATCAGTAAGATCGTGATCCTCCTTGTTGAGTGATAATGTACATTGTTGTGGTGTTATCCATTACTATTTGGACCATTTTGTTCTGAATTACAGAATGGAAGTAGTCACAAGCCTTGCAGACTGCCCAGAGTTCGAGGAGGCTTATATGTCCGTTCCCCTCATGTGTCAGCGGCCTTGTACCACTCATTCTCCCAGGTGAGCTCCCCAACCTATCAGGGAGGCATCGATGGTTGTTGTTCATGTTGTGTTTGGTCGCTGAAAGGGTATCCTGCCATACACATTGCGGTTTAATATCCACCATGTCAGCGTGGCCTTTATTTTGTTTGGCATGGAGAGCTGACTGCTCAGGTGATGTGTGCATGGTCTGTGTACTATTTTGAGCCATGCCTGTAATGGTCTCCTCTGTAGTCGGGCATGCGGTACCACGAATGTGGCCACTGCCATGTTACCCATTATCTAATGGTAAGGCAGTGCCTACACAGTTGGGCTGGACTGTATTAGGGTCACAAGGTCCTTGATCGCTGAGAACCTGTGTTCCCATAATGCCAGGGCCTTGTTGCAATCCAGATGTGCCTATGTGAACTCTGTTGTGTGCTGGGGAGAGGACACACTTTTCCGAGTTTATCTGTAAACCCCTGGATTCTAACAGTTTTCTGGTGGTCTCTACTGCCTTTTGTTTGCCATGTGCTGTGGGGTCTCTTAAACCAATCGTCTAGAAATGGGAATATGGTTATGCCCTCCTTCCTGAGGGGGCTGCTACCACTACCAGAGCCTTTGAAAAGACTCTTGGGGCTGTTAAGAGTCCGAAGGGCAGCACTTTGTGTTGGAAATGTTGATCTTTTATGGCGAATCTTAGAAAACGTCAGTAGGATTGATGGATGGTAATATGAAGATACACGTCCTGGAGGTCAAGGGTGGGCAGCCAGTCTTCCTTCTCTAAAGGCGGGAATGATGGTGGCTGGGTTTACCATCTTGAATTGCTGATAACGTAAAAAGTGGTTGAGTTTTTGAAGATCCAGAATCGGCCTCCAACCCCGTGACTTCTTGATGGCAAGGAAGTATTGGGGGTAGAAGCTCCTCCCTAGACAAAAAAGAAGAGGTTACTCACTTTGTGTAGTAACGATGGTTCTTCGAGATGTGTCCCCGTGGGTGTTCCACTCAAGGTGTCGGGTCCCAACCCGGCGCCGCTAGTCGGAGATTTCCAGAGCCATAGCCAAGCCGGACCGTGCATGCCTGAGAGCAGCACGCGGCGTTCGCGCCTTTGCAACGTCTCGTGGTCCGGCCCCCCCTCGTCAGTTCCTCTCACCGCTTGGTCTCTGAAAGATAAAGCAGAAAGACCCGGAGCGGGGAGGAGGGTGGGGCGTGGAGCACCCACGGGGACACATCTCGAAGAACCATCGTTACTACACAAAGTGAGTAACCTCTTCTTTTTTGTCTAGGGAGGAGCTTCTACCCCCAATACTTCCTTGCCATCAAGAAGTCACGGGGTTGAAGGCCGATTCTGGATCTTCAAAAACTCAACCACTTTTTACGTTATCAGCAATTCAAGATGGTAAACCCAGCCACCATCATTCCCGCCTTTAGAGAAGGAAGACTGGCTGCCCAGAACTCCCTTTGCAAAAGCTTTGGAGGTTGCTACTGCTTGCGTAGAGTGAGCCCGAGTAAAGAAGGAAGAGGTTTGTTCCAAATCGAATGGCAATTTGTAATACAAAAAGAGTAATTAGTTTGCCAATGCGCTGAGTGGAAAGTGCCTTGCCCTTGGATCTCTGTGCCATAGATACGAACAGCCTGTCCGTGCGCCACCATTGGTGGGTTCTGTCTA